CACGTCAGACCAAACATAGTGAGCATTTGAATATGAAGAAAACTAAACAAAGCAAAACAGCAGGAACCGTACAAAAAAGCCCGAAAGGCTTGTTTTAAGCTCTTTCCCAATCGGATGAACTCATATTTAGATACACTTTATTCCTGTGTAATCTGTGCTTGTTTATTCTATATTGTCTGTAAATTTCATGTACAGTGTCTGTATATTATTGTCCTCATATAGTCTGAATATTGCCTGTGGACTCCCAGCGTATATTATATATTGTCTTTAACACTACAGACGCACTAACAGCCGGAACCACGTTCCTTGCATGTCGACAGACTCGGACGATAAATCAGATTCTGATTTTTACGTGTTGATGTACATTTGTGTGCAAAAGTCTGTGCACCCCTCGTCAAATTTCATGCATTTGTTGATTTTCTGAGTGTGAATAAGTTAACACACCCTCTACAGAGACACTTCTGCATTACTGCGTAATACATCTTAATACACAATAACTGAGTTTAACACACTGGAAAATATAAAGCATGAAATGTGGCCTTTATAAAAGTTACGGCGCTTTTTATGTTTTATGTTTTCCAATATGATAAACTCAATAAATGGAAATTTGGCAAAATTTTGAAAAATATCATATTTGAGTGTGTTCTCTGTCGAGGATTGTTTACTTATTTACACTTAGAAAATGGAATAAATCAACGAAACGTGATTTGACCAGATCTCTTTTAAACGAGTTACAAAGGGCTGTCTGTTTACATCAAGACTGAAATGATTGAAAGGACTGAGATACAAAATACAGACAAAAATGACTCAAATAATAAAACAAAATAAATCAGTTTAATGAGGGAAAAATAAAAGAAACTGATTTTATAATAGTTTGCTCATCTCTAATACACAGACTAGGAGTTCAGTTTGAAGTGTGTATCATTTCTCTGTTTCTGTGAAATACACTGCTCGTCAAAAGTTTGGGGACACCTAGCTAAATGTTATTAATACAGATTGTTGTGTTTTCTCTGTTTGTTTACAGTAACTGATCATATTAAAGCCTGATCAGGTTTATTTAGAGGAAAACAATATCACTGTAAATATTATTGGTGTTGATATTAGTGACAGTGTTGGCTTGGGAGTGAAGCAAGAGGCCACGCCCACTTTACCCCCTTGCTGTGATGTCAGCGCTCACACCTGTCAGGTGTTTAAATCAGCTTTGAAATAAAGTGATTCTGATTCTGTGTTCTAATTAGTGCAGCAGCACAATATCAACATAACAAAGAACCAATCAGCAGACAGCTACATCATTACATCATCCCACTGAACGGTTCTGTGGCCGGAACGCGGTTAGCTAACCGTCCAGTTTTTTCCGTGTGGATCCGTATTGGTGTGGAAACCCGGTGCAGCGGTTCTCCTCCCGTTCGGCTCTGCGAGGGAAATGAGGCTCGTGACTCTGAACTATTGACTCTGATTGATTCTGATCTGCGTTTGATGCCGACTGATCGCTGTGTTTGTCTTTCCAGGCAGAAGATGAAAGAAGGAGAAGATAAAGTGGTTTATGAGCAGCAGTCGGTCAACCTCTGACCCTCATCACGTCCAGCTGAGACGTCCAGAATGAACCAGGAGCTTCATTTAAACATTTGAACGTTTTCTGGTCAGATCAGCAGCTGATTATCAGCAGATTCAGTGACGCTGCGCTCTGATTGGTTAAAGTGATCTGACGCTCAGAAGATTTGAGTTTAATTTTAGTCTGTGATTTTAATTTTACGCCTTATTTATTTACCAGATTTCCCTCCACAGTCATTCATGGCCTGATCACACCTGCTGCTCAAAACTTTACACTCCCCTCCTGTATTAATAATTAGCTTATTTAATAATGACTTACAGACTATAGACTTTTATAAACTACTCAGAAAGTAATTTTAGACATTTTAGTCAATATGAAATGTCTGTTATTAATAATAACAATAATAATAATAATAATTATTATTATTATTACATTATTAATGTATTAATCTAGTAGAACTTCATGCTGGGTATTAATTTTATTAGAATATTAATCTGGATATTAATTTTATGAGAACTTTACTCTTGATGTTCTCCAGATCTCTCAGTCATTGTAGAATTTGATCAGATCTGTTCATCATTCTAACATTTCTATATATTTTTTTATAATAATTATCTGAAAGCTGTGAAGTTTTATAGCATCATAATATAATCATTTTATACATTCATCTGCGACAAAATTTGCTTTATGTGACTAAACACATTATTACTGTAATTAATCTTTAATAGCTGCTGCTGTCATGTTGGACAAACTTTACACTGTGTTTATATTAATGATCAAACTGCCGTATTACAGAATCTTAGCTCTAAAATCTGACCTGTTTGGTCTCCATGACGACTTCAGTACTGACTGAATTTAGTTCAGTAGCTATTCCAGAATATCAGTTCCTACCTTCATCATCTCATCATGAACTCCAGATAAGAAAACAGCATCACACAAACATCCTAACTAGACTAAACCTCCTAAATCCTGTCCTAACTTTAGGATGAACCCCAACAGGGTCCTCACTTCTGTTTAAGGTCCGTTTCTATGGTTTTTAGGCAGCTGAGTCAGCAGCATAGTTCACTACCAGCATAATGAGCTCCATTTATTCCTACTGTAAAACGCTGCTTTCACTGTGAGATGATTTTCTTTTCTAACTCTGCGTTTTAAAGATCTCAGACGCTGCAGACTCGATCTCCACCGCCCCTCTGATCACCTTCGTGTGTTAATGTTGATGATGAAATATTACAGTGATGGTGGTGAATAATGAGGAGACGGAGCTGAACGTGTGTCTGTTTCCATAACATCTCAGTCCAAAAGTGAACTCAACGCTAGATGCACTTCTTTGAGTGTTCATGGTTCTATATAGAACCATTTTCTTTGCCAAAGAACTTTGAAGAACCATGTTTTAAGAGTTTAGCAGCGCATCTGTGTAGCGGAGCTGTACGGTCCTCATGATCTGACATTCATATCGTTCCTGCTAATAACAGCAGAGTATTAAAATAATATGAAATTAAAAATAGTAGGATGCCCATTTTGGCTCAGCGTCAGTGACCTGATTGGGTCAATTCAGATTGATGACGCGGTCATAAACAAGCAGATATGGGAGGGTTGACCGTGCTGACACAGTGATCTGCAGGTTCTAAAGCGGAGAACTGTTTCCATAACATCACAGTCCAACGGTGCTTTGAAATCCCGCTACGTTCTTCATTTTTCAGTTTTTTTCCATCATTACAGGTTTTAAGGTTTCTGTGATTAAACGGACGATCTGATGATTTTCAGGCCGCAGCTGTCAGACTTTCAGTGTCAGCACTCAGTCAAACTTAATAAAAGAGGTCTAGGCGTCTCGTTGGCCACTGGGCTATTTCAGCTTCTAAGCAAGTGGACTTTGAAGTGGAACAGGGCAGCAGGCGAGCCTAAAGCTTTATTACACACTTCTATAACCAGAGAATAACTCAGCCAGTTCACGCTGAAGTGCCTGTAGTTACTGAGTAATAAGCCTTTGTGTGTAATAAGTCAGAGATTTTAGGAGGTGAAGCTCTAAAATGTGAAGCTCTAGAGTTCCAGCTCTAGAATTTTGGTTTAATCTCCACTTTTCTAAGAATTATAGAAGTGTCCAGAGTCCGGCCCCGGGGCCAAATCCGGCCCACGGATTGATTTTAATGAGCCGTCCAGTCAGTATGTTGCAGTTGTTCCTTCCACTTGATGGAGGTAGCAGTGCTGTAAACACACACACACTCACACACACACACACACACACACTCACACACACACACACTCACACGCTCACACACACACACACACACAGTGCAGCTGAGATATACGAATACACCATGAAACCCAGCGTGGACGACAAACATTCAGGGGACAAAAAAAGAAGCAGCTGTTAATCAGAGCAGATTCAGTGGTTTGTGCAGTAAATATTAACTGTTTTGTATCTTTGTGTTTTTCATATTTTTAATACCGTATATTTTAAATGACCGGCACTCAGGTATTTTGTCAGGGTCCATTCTGGCCCTCTTTGAAACCAGTTTCAGCAGTGTCACTTTATTTGTCCTCTGTCGTCCCCTGTAGATGATCTAGAGCGGGTTTAGAGTTAAAGTGAATGAGGGTCAGTTTAGTGGATATTTAGTTGAATTTAATTTGAAAGTAAATTAAGTATCTACAAAGCATCAAATCCAAATAAAGTGTGACCGTTTGGGCACGACTGAATTACAGGTTAGGTTTGTTTGTTTGTTTGTTTGTTTGTTTGTTTGTGTTTGTATGTGCTCTGAGTTTGTGCTGTAACTGCTTTAAATCTCTGAATCTAATTTGATAAATCATTTTTAATGTGCTTTTATTGAGCCAATAAATTCTTCTCAACACTTTCTCCACCACTGAGCCTCTTTCTGTACAAATAAAGAAAATATATATATTTGAATTAAACGTGTGAGAGCCAGGAACCCTGGAGGGAAACGTTAGAACGTTGTCATTGTTGAAATATGACTCATAAATAATAATACGATGTATGATAATATTAAAATGTGGTGCAGTAAAACAGGCTGTGTGTGGAGTTTTTACTGGACTGTCTCTTTAAGAGTCAGACTGAGTGCGAAGCTGTGTGAGGTCAGAGGTGATTGTGTGTGGTTCTGATTCCATGATGAGGTCAGTCTGACGGCGGCTGCTCGGAAGTTCAGCCGTGTGTGTCTGTGTTATTGTTTGTTTACAGGTTTGTGTTCTTCACTGCAGGTTTGTTTTGTTTATTACAGATTTGCGTTGTTCGTTGTAGGTTTGTGATTTTTTTATTGCTGAATTAATTTGTTTATTGTGGATTTTAATTGTTCACATATTTTTCTGATTTGTTCTCTTTATTTATTACAAATGTGCATTGATTACTGCAGATTTACATGGTTTATGTTCTATTTATGTTCTTTTTTGCACATTTGAAATCTTTAAATGCAGTTTGTGTTCCTTATTTCTATTTTATGGTCATTATTGCAGATTTACACCGGTCAGGCATAACATTCTGACCACCACCTTGTTTCTACGCTCCTTGTCCACTTTATCAGCTCCACTTACTATATAGGTGCACTTTGTAGTTCTACAGTTACAGACTGTAGTCCATCTGTTTCTCTGATACTTTGTTAGCCCCCTTTTACCCTGTTCTTCAGTGGTCAGGACCCCCATGGACCCTCACAGAGCAGGTACTGTTTGGATGGTGGGTCATTCTCAGCACTGCAGTAACACTGACGTGGTGGTGGTGTGTTAGTGTGTGTTGCGCTGGTGCGAGTGGATCAGACACAGCAGTACTGCTGGAGTTTTTAAACACCTCAGTGTCACTGCTGGACTGAGAATAGTCCACCAACCAAAAATATCCAGCCAACAGCGTCCTGTGGGCAGCGTCCTGTGACCACTGATGAAGGACTAGAGGATGACCAACACAAACTGTGCAGCAGCAGATGAGCTATCGTCTCTGACTTTACATCTACAAGGTGGACTGACAAGGTAGGAGTGTCTAATAGAGTGGACAGTGAGTGGACACAGTGTTTAAAAACTCCAGCAGCACTGCTGTGTCTGATCCGCTCGTACCAGCACAACACACACTAACACTCCACCACTACGTCAGTGCTGAGAATGACCCACCACCCAAATAGTACCTGCTCTGTGAGGGTTTGCAGGTTTGTTTATTTGTGATCATTGATCTTTATTTCTCTTTTTGCAGTGTTTACAGTGTTGACAGTGTTTAGTGTTTACAGTGTTGACAGTGTTGACAGTGTTTACGGTGTTGACAGTGTTTACAGTGTTGACGGTGTTTACAGTGTTGACAGTGTTGACGGTGTTTACAGTGTTGACAGTGTTTACAGTGTTTGCAGTTGACGGTGTTGACGGTGTTTACGGTGTTGACGGTGTTTACAGTGTTGACAGTGTTTACAGTGTTGACGGTGTTGACAGTGTTTACGGTGTTGACAGTGTTGACGGTGTTTACAGTGTTGACAGTGTTTACAGTGTTGACGGTGTTGACGGTGTTGACAGTGTTTACAGTGTTGACAGTGTTTACGGTGTTGACAGTGTTGACAGTGTTTACAGTGTTGACAGTGTTTACGGTGTTGACAGTGTTTACAGTGTTGACAGTGTTTACGGTGTTTACAGTGTTGACAGTGTTTACAGTGTTGACAGTGTTTACGGTGTTGACGGTGTTGACAGTGTTTACGGTGTTGACGGTGTTGACGGTGTTTACAGTGTTGACAGTGTTTACAGTGTTGACGGTGTTGACGGTGTTGACAGTGTTTACAGTGTTGACAGTGTTTACGGTGTTGACAGTGTTGACAGTGTTTACAGTGTTGACAGTGTTTACGGTGTTTACAGTGTTGACGGTGTTGACAGTGTTTACAGTGTTGACAGTGTTAACGGTGTTTACAGTGTTGACAGTGTTTACAGTGTTGACAGTGTTTACGGTGTTGACGGTGTTTACAGTGTTTACAGTGCTGACAGTGTTCCTCTGTGTGGAGGCGATCAGGTCGTGTTTGTTGCTCTGTGCTGGTGTGAAGCTCTGCGGTGTCAGTGTGTGTTTGGAGGTGAAGCTCTGCAGATCCTTCAGCTGGTCAGATGGTTACAGTGTGTGTGTTAATGAGGTGATGAAGGCCGTTTGGTCTCGGTGTGTTTGTGCTCCTCTGCTCGCTCTGATTGGAGGAGCTCTGTTTCGGCCTGCTGGAGTTTTTCTCTGTGGGAAATTTCCCATTAAGTCACTCTTCATCTGCCTGAACGCTGAGATTAAAACGGCCTTTTGGTGCGGATTCAGCAGATCTGTGTCTCGGAGCGGTTTGATTTGCTCAGGTGTGCTGCAGGTGTGCAGGTGTTCCTCTTTGATGTTGTTGGACTGAGATTTTACTGTTCTGAGGTGAAACATATGAGCTGTGGACGTCGTGAGTTGCAGAACCGACTGTTACTGAAACCACACAAGCAGACGCAACGTTCCGCTTTAATATCTGATCAGTAATCATCTCACAGTGACTCAAAGAGAGAGAGACACGAAAGAGTGAAGAGAGAGAGTTTCTCTCCCTCTCTCTCTCTGTCTCTCTTTCTGTCTCTCTCTCTCTCTCTCCCTCTCTCTCTCTGTCTCTCTTTCTGTCTCTCTCTCTCTCTCTCCCTCTCTCTCTCTGTCTCTCTTTCTGTCTCTCTCTCCCTCTCTCTCTCTCTCTCTGTCTCTCTCTCTCTCTCCTTCTCTCTCTTCCTCTCTCTCTTTCTCTCTCTCTCTCTCCCTCTCTCTCTCTCTCTCTGTCTCTGTCTCTCTCTCCCTCTCCTTCTCTCTCTTCCTCTCTCTCTTTCTCTCTCTCTCCCTCTCTCTCTCTCTGTCTCTCTCTCTCTCCTTCTCTCTCTTCCTCTCTCTCTTTCACTCTCTCTCCCTCCCCCTCTCTCTCTATCTCTCTCTCTCTCTCTCTCTCCCTCTCTCCCTCTCTTTCTGATGATCTGTAATAGAGTTTAAGCCT